ACTTAAAAGAAAAAAAAATAAGTGAAAGTAGAGAGAGAAAATAATAAGTAAGGACTCATCCTTCTCACTATTAGTAACATTTCCCAACCCACTTTGGGGTTTGTTGGGGTGTATTCGACTTTAAAAGAAAAAATGTATATATATATATATATATATATAGCTAAGATTTTGGAATGTATTTGGCTATTAAACTACCCTCAGGTATCCTCTTGACTTTATGATGGATGCAAGCTCAATAGTAGTTCAGATGAAGAAAAATAGGTGAAGAAAGGGGAAAAGGTGAAGTTTTGGTGATGGTGAAGTTGTTTGGGAGCCATTGGAAATGAAGTAAATGGGCAGAGATGTGATGTAGAAGGTGAATGGAGGTTTTGTAGGGGAGAATTGGTGGAGAGAGAGGGTAGGTTGAAATTTTTTTTTAGAGGTCATGGTGTCCTCAAACTAATTTGTATGTACTTTGATACTAATTCATCCCTTATCTTATCAAAATTAGGCTATTCAGAAAATAGACTGATATGATAAAAGAAAAGAGACCCAGAAAGGAAAAGGAGGTTGTTTTGATAATTTTACCCTTATATAAAAAGATAATTATAATTATCAAAGCTCCATTAAGTACTATTATGATTTTGAGTTCTTGGTTTTGGTTCTAAAAAATTTAGAAACCTTAAAATAAAATTAGAAAATTTTATATATTAATTAACTTTGAAGTTTTAGGTATTAGTTTTAAAATTTTATGTCTAATAAGTTGTCAATTTTAAATTTTGTTTTTAATTATTAATTTTAATTATTTGAATATTGAAAACTAAAATTAAAAACCCAAAACTATAACCATAATTATTCTAAATAGAGCTTAAATCTACCAAACAAAATGCTCTCCAAACTATAAAAAAAAAATTACAACTCTTTCACAAAATCATGTTAACCAAAATACCTCTTAAAATAAAAAGAACCATAACTTTCTCACAAAGAATTGTTATTTTATGAGATTTTAGAGTATTTTTGAACTCTGACCAACTGCACCTAAGCATTTAGATTTGGAGGCGAATTACTAGATCCAAAAACCCGGTTCAAGGATAAGACTTTTCTTATATGAGGGAAGAAAAGAAAAAGTGATAACACAAAGAAAAAGCAAAATCCAAAGACTTAAAAATCTTATGATTAGATTAGATATACTAGATATTATAGTACTCATTGACGCTGAGAAACGCCCCCTTTGCTGACCAGCGCAGTTGTTTTGGAAGAAAGCACCATTTGTAATTGACTTGATTATCATCGAATATTAACTATTTTATGTTAGTTGAGGAATGTCTTTTTCAAGGCTTTTTATCTCAAAGAAAGCAAGGCCCTTGCGTGTCTAACATAAATGAAACATATCTGCAATTAAAAAATATAGTAGGTTTTATTTGGCATCTATTTGAGATAAAGGAATGGCAAGGGAGGTAAGGCGCATGTATTATTTTGATGAATTATTTTATTAGATAATTTTCTTAAATTGTTAATTATAATATTTATAAATTTTAATTTATAAATTAATTTAATTTATTAAATAATAAATATTAATTATTTTATTAGTTATTAATTATTTTTAATAATTTATGTGGTTATAACAAATTTAAATACAGTCATAACTTTATTAAGAAAAAGAGAAGAAACCTCCTTTATTTGAAATTTAAATAAGAAAAAAAATTAAGATGGACAAAATGGTAGCAACTTTTTTTTTAAAAAAAAATTGTTTTCATTTCTCTTGTGTATTTTAAGATAACCCAATAATGAAAAAGGAAGAAAGGGAAATAAAAGAACAGCGTTATTCTTTTATTTTTTGTTCCTTTGGTTAAATTTCTTTTGAACCAAACCAAGCCTTAAAGTAACAAAAATAATATACGGTCCCACACTACACAATAATTGATATACCTTCAGTTCAACGCATTACATAACACTTTTCGATTAACTATTAAAATTTACCTTTGAAAATGATAATTTCTTGATGAGTGCATTATAAAATGTGTTAAACTAGAAGTATACCAATTATTTTTTAATCAACATTACTTGAAGAAGAAAGTGATTCCTGTATAGGACACACCACATAATTCATATATACTACTAACTTGCACATTTCAAATAATAAATTTAAGAATCCCGGATTTAAAGTTTGGATAGTAGAACACCGATTATAAAAGGGTTTGTATGACACTTGAATGTTGTTAATTGAGTAACGAAATTTTTAATTTGTATTTTTAAAGTATAAAATAAAAATATGTTTATCATATTTTTTGTAATTATTCTTTTTATCTCAAAATAACTATTGTTACATGTGAACATTTTTAATTGATTAATGAAATTTCTAATATATACCTTTAAGGTATAGGATAAAGATACATTTATTGTATTTTTATGTGATTACTCATCCTATTAAAAAATAACTATCATTTTTTTATTTTAAGTTTTAAGTTTGTTTGAAATTAATTATTATTTTCTTTATTTTTTAAGATATATAAATATTTTTATTCGTACTTTAACTCTATCATTATTATTTGTAGTTTAACTCTATCATATTCATTTATTTTGATCAGTTCTCAAATCATAAAAAGTTTTGATTTTATCATTTTGCTTTTTCTTAAAAATAATATTTGTATATACATGAATAATCTCTTAAATCTTTAATTTAGAGAAAAAATTAAAAAAATAATTATTATTTTGAGACCGATAAGATAATTTATATTAAAAAATTAAAAAATAATTTTAATTTTATCAATTATTTAATCAAAAGCATATATGTGATATTAATAATAAAATTAAAGTTAAAGTTAATTTTTTAATTTTTTTTATAAATATTGAATGTAAAAAAATGTAATTAACACACTTATAACTTATATTTTTAAACAAATTTATTAATTAATTTATTAAATTAAAATTAAAATTAAAAATTTTAATATAAATTAATTATAAATATTTATTAATTATCGATGTTAGAGAAGGAGAGATTCTCCTTCCTCATCAAGAGCCCTCATAATAATTGATTGATATTTTGTGGTTAGATACACTTTCTAATAATTAAAGGCATCCTTCCTATGTACCAAAAAAAATGACATCTTCCCTAGTCGAAATAGAAGTCTGTGGATAAACAGTTAATCAGAAAATATTTAAAAATGAAGCCGACAGTTGGGAGCGGGTTCTTGAACTAATAAAGTTCAGATCATTTTACTGGTATAAAACAATATTATGCTTAGATCTTGTGCAAGACAAATGGCACTCCGAACCAAAAGAAGGACACAAGAGATTGCAGCAATGAGTTTGAGACTGATCACCATGTAATGGATCATGGAAAGAGGTAACACGCTGGTAGAAGTAAAGATGGATACCTACCTCCTAAAAGGCAAGTAAATGGTTGTGAAGCCAGCGGCTGATTACAATCCGTTTTGTTGGCTCGGTCATATTTATGGGATCTTTAATTGTGAAAGCGCCTTTATGTATTTCTAGTGTAATCGGTGGAGTACTCCTTATATTTCATTAATACAATAATTTTTATTTGCTAATAAAAAAAAAAAAAAAAAGTCCGTGGATAGATGAGTTCCTTGCGTACACTACATTTAAAAGTTCTAACTCATAGTACATCAGACTTTATGATCCACTTATAAGACTCATTTAATAAATGTATTTAATATTTTAAAAATGACTAAATTTTAAATTATAATATTATTATATTATAATTTTTTATACCTTATCTCAAATTTGCAAAAAAATAAAAAATAATAATAAAAAAAGGGTGTGACAACTAATAGCACCAATGTATTTTTACGAGCTGACATTTTGGGTCAGGGATAGCAATCATGAGGCAAAAAACTTTCTCCGCCAGCAATTAATTTCTTTAAGGCTTATTTTTTGGAAAATAGGCAATGCTCTTGAAGGCTTATTTGGTTATGTCGGTAAGAAGGCAAGTTTGGAAGCTATCACTTTTTTCTAGTCAGATTGAATCAAGAAATAAAATTTTATGTATACAAAAATTGAGATGAAATATAGTTAATAACATAATAAAAAAATGAGGTATTTTGAAAAATAATTAATTATAAATAAATATAATATATTATGGTAAGGAAAAAGTTTTTTCAATTCAAAAAACTCTAGAAAATAACTCTAAAAGGTTTCATTTTAAGAGGAGTAATTGAATTTTTTTATTTAGTAGATTATTTTTCCCTTAAAACATTATAATTAATTAAAAAACATAATTAATTATATTTTGTTATTAATTTTTATACTCAAAAATTTGTTTTTCTCAATTAAATCCAAGCTATATGACTTCTTTACAATATCTTTTAAAGAATGATATTTTTATTTTGCATTCTTAAAACACATGTTAATAGTATATTTATTTTATGTATTTTTTGTAATTAATTTATATAAAAATATAAATATTAACTTTAATTTAATTAATTAAATAATAATAATTATTCATGTGATAATAATGTTAAAATAAATGTTAATTTTTATAATTTTTCATAAAAATCAAGAACATAAGTTAATGAAGTAATTATAAATAAATACATCTATTATATTATTAATCTATTACTTTAAAACATAAATTAGACAAATAAATTAAAAAAATTAATTACCAAATATACCTTTTTTTTAACAACAAATTGTTTAGGATTTTGGGGAATGGGAAACACAAATCTGATAATAACTCTAATGCAAGAAGTTACCCTTACTCTACCAAGTAATTCTTATTCCTTAATTATAAATATATATATATATATATATATTAAGACATAAAAACTAATTTAAAATTATTTGGCCATAAATAAATAAAAAAAAGGAAAAAAAATCTACTCCAACGCATGCCTCGCTAGTTTCAACTCAGACTTTATACCTTTTATAGGTCCAACCATGTCGTGCCATATCAACAGAACAGAAAGTCTCTTTATGCACTGGACCGCAGTAGATAGCTACAGCCATTTCCAATCCCCACTGGCACACCTTCCTCGTTTTTATCGTGTTCCTACGTCAGTCTCTGCTTCCTGAAGTCGGTCAAAAAAAAAATCTATTCCCCTTTATTCGTGCTCCTTCCACTGTGATTCCGTTGCGAATTAGCAACTCCGACTGGATTCATCGTCTTCCTCGGTCTACGTCATCGGCGGCCGCGCACTGCCGCAGCGAAGCTTCGTTTCGCACTTCTTAAGTAGCAATTGGCTTGCGGAATTCAGGTCTCTATAAATTCTCAGGTTGAAATGAGAAACGGAATATCGCTTTCTCTGGAATTCTTTTGATTGCGAACTGAATTTAACAAGATGCAATCTGGTAAGGAATTCACATCCTTTCTCTCTTTGTTTTTCTTTGAGAAATCTCGTTCTAATTTAGGTTTTTGTCACTGCATTGACGTTAATTCTGTATTTGCTTAAGGAGTTATTGCGCTTTTGCCTTGTATAAATGAAGAAATTAGAAGTTTAGCCTTAGAAGTCTGAGTGAAATGATTCAAATTGTGATTATGTTGATAAAGCTCTATAGCTTGATGTAGATTTCAACCGCAAGGAAATAATGAGAAACTTTCAGGAACAGCACTTTCTTTTGCCCCTCAGTTTTAATAATCCAGTTGACAACTGAGTAGAACTTGTTCCTCTCATTTAATTGTTCATTTTTTATGTTGGAATTTTTTTCTTCAAGAAATATGGTTTTTTGGATTGTTAAACTTGCACTTCAGGTTCATATTGGAAGAACGCTTCGTCTGCTGAACTTTGGTCACTGCATTTTCAAGTGATTTTCAATCAATTATTTGGTAGATAATTGTTTCACTTGTTCAAATTATTACAGATTATGATATTAATAAGCTGTTTCAAGAAGCTCAAACCCGATGGTTGAAGCCAGCGGAAGTGCTCTTTATACTACAGAATAATGAGAAGTACTTGCTTACTCAGGAGCCTCCTCACAAACCAACAAGTACCATCCATAGGCCATGAATTTGACTGACAAAGTTTGTTATTTATTTTTAAGATCTACCTAGTATTGTTAGTTGTTGATCCATCTGACTTGATTTATGGATAGGTGGATCTTTGTTGCTTTTTAACAAGAGGGTCACCCGGTTTTTCCGTAAAGATGGTCATAGTTGGCGTAAAAAGAGGGATGGGAAAACTGTTGGGGAAGCACATGAAAGACTTAAGGTTTGTCAAAGAAATATCAATTTTCCCTTTTTGGGTTTAGTGTAAAAGTCGTTGCAAGTCTAGTAAATTATATCAGACTAGATGTTCTGATTATCAGCTCGTAATGTATGCCTTGTTTCAATTGTTGACCTAAAAACTGAAAAAGCGTAAGAATTTTTTCTAGGTAAATACCTTATCTGAGAGATAACATCATGTTGATGTGTTTATTGATTTTTCTAATATCATTTTAGGGTTTGCATTGATTTATCTTAATCATGGCCAGGTTGGAAATGTTGAAACTTTAAATTGTTACTATGCTCATGGAGAGCATAACCCCAACTTTCAGCGACGTAGCTATTGGATGCTGGATACGTAAGTGTGGTTCTCCTTGTGGAGATTTCACTCTTCACATGAATTAGAACTCATATTTGCTTTTATCTGTATTACATTGGCAGGGCACATGAGCATATTGTTCTTGTTCACTATAGAGAGATAAATGAGGTGAGTTTTAAAGTTTTAGTTGCTTAGACTGATAACATTTCAATAAGTTAGGATCAACATCCACTTGCACATGAGTATGTCTTACATAAATTATCGGCCACATGGTTGAAAATGATGGTGCTATATCCCACCAAACATTGGATTTGGAAATCAATGATTGATAATTGTCACAAGACATACACATGTTTAAGTGGATCCCGACTCCATTTCAAATCTTTCCCTGCTAATATATTTTATCACTTCTGCTGAGTAATAATGCTTTCCAGTGACATTCTAATTCCAATTACCAGCATTGCTCCCCTTCATGCAAGGGCTGAAGCTGCCATCCCCCCTTAGGAACTGGTTTTACACATAAAAATTTTGTGATGAACCTTTGGACCACTAACTGTAGATCATTCCTGTTATGAAGTTACCATCCTTCAGACAACTGTTATACATATAAAGATTCTATGTGTATCTGTAAGCCTGGATCTATATCTATCAATTATACTGCAAAAAATCACCATAGTATTTAGGATTTTTTTTTTTTTTTTTTTGACTGGCAGCCATATTGACTCATGAATTATCATCCAAGACTTTTTACACTGTGATGAACTAATATCTAAATCTTGCAACTATCTAGTATGCTATTATCCACAACTAAATGGAATACAACCAGCATTATCGTCTTTCTATTATTAAAAACATTGCTTGCATTGTCCCTGCATTACTATTGTCCAATGTCTTTCATCACTCTCAATGCCAATGGCATGGCAGCTAGGGGTTCATAGCTGGAGCTTTAAAGTTCTAATCACAATTTTCACATTGTTTGCAGGGAAAGCCCAGTCCCGAATCGATTTCACAGTCACCAGGATTATCTTCTGCTGTTAGTCCGAGTTCAAACTCCCATACTTCTCAAAATCCAGGATCTAACTCTGTAATCAGTGACATATATGAACCATCTCAGAGTTTATCGAGTCCTGGGTCTGTAGAAGTTAGCTCTAATATAGGTATCAAGAACAAAGGGGTAGATAACGCAGAAAAGCATACCAGCTCAGCTGACATTGAAGTTGGTCAAGCTTTAAGAAGGCTTGAGGAACAGTTAAGCTTGACTGAGGACACCATCAAAGATATCAGTCCGTTCTCCAGCAAAGATGATGATTTAGAGATTCTGGAATTTGGAAAGGAGATCTTCAAGCAGGAACCACTGCATGGACAAGATTATATTCTACAAGATCAACTTTATACTGGGATGGGAAACTATCCAAATAATCTAATGCTATCTTCCGACAGAGGTTTGTTAGGTTTGACTTCTTTGCTGGTCAGGAACTTTGGAAAATAACTTCTATGTAGTTAATCCATCTTATTGTCAATGACGCAATCAAGAAAGAAAAAAGGAGCTAAAGTAAAGATAATGTGAGTGTTGAGAAAGCAATGTCTGTGCTCCCTTGAGATGATGTCTTTTGATAGACATCTATAAATAGGAAAATCTACTCCCCAAGAATCATACAATTGAAAAGGAATTAAATGCAGTTTTGAGTCAAAGGGCAAGTTGGTTCCTAATTTTAGTTATTTTATTGAATTTAATGTCGAAACAAGTATCCACTTTTTTAGGTTTGCAAATTTAGGAAGTGTAACTGAAATCAATATTCAGTTGAGCATAGTTTTCTGTCTTTGCTGACGGTTATATCTGTACCTGGGCAGCGTGGCACTAACTTTTTTCATGATCTTCATGTAGGTGAAAATGGAGGATATTACCAAGCAAATAGCAATGACTATGTAGATGACCCTGAGGAATCTCTATACTGGATGAATGTCTTAGAAACAGGCAAGACTTCATCCCATGTTGAATCACAGGTAAAAAAAATTCATTTTCAAAATAGATGGAAGTATGACAAGGCGAGCACATTTGGTGTGGTTATGGCCATCTGCCATGTTGTTAAGGCCTCCCAAAGTTGTTTAGTTTAACTGATATTTTATTTGTATGTTGTTTTTTCTTAAGCAATTGGTTATGATGTCTAAAAATATCAGTTTATAAACTATTTTCAATCTGTTAAATAATAAATATCAGTTATCAGTTATTTTTAATAGTCAAACTAAACAGAATTGAGTGGCCTGAACAAAATGGCCTGTGGCCATCACCACATCCAGTGCATTATACTATAATGCAAGTTTATTTTTTGTATTCTGCATAATAGATATATGGCAAGAAATACATGAATCTTGTTTTCTACTGTTGGTTTATTGCTGAATAAGCAAGTAAAGCCATCTCAATCATTAGTATTCACCATGACTTCACTTATTCAAATTTAATTACTTTTGACTGCATATAGCTGATAAAAGAAATGTTGACTTCATATAAGGCCAATCATATTTTCATAGCTTGCTTATGAGGAGAGTTTCAACATACTTAAAACAGGGAAAGCTACAATCTTCTTCAATGAGGGGAGCAGCAGAGCAACAGGAGTTGTCTTATTGGTCGAATTATGATGCATCCAACATTCAAGATTGTAGGATCCCCTCCTATTCTTGATAAGTCATTTGATGCTGTAGATTCTACTACCTAATATATTTTTGGTCGACTTTTGACAATCTCTTGCCCTTCCAGATTTTATGTTACAACCTCAAGAAGTTAGGAGTGCTGATATTCCTCCACATTCTTCTGCAATAGAAACTGTTGAAACCAACTCTGATTACTATACAATGCTTTTCAACCAAGGCCAAATAGGAAGTCCCCTTCCAGCAGATTCAAATGTAATTATTGCACAAAAGCAGAAATTCACCATTCAGGAAATATCCCCAGACTGGGGTTACTCCACTGACTCTACAAAGGTATTTGTTGTGGAATTCTGTCACTGTTATGCAATAGATTTTGTTGTTTTAGGAAGTTAAGTATATCCAAGTTCCAAATGCAGGTCATTATTGTTGGCTCTTTTCTATGTGATCCATCAGCATCAGTCTGGGCATGCATGTTTGGGGAGACTGAAGTTCCTGTCAAGATCCTCCAGGAAGGTGTCATCTGTTGTGAAGCTCCTCCTCACCGTCGTGGGAAGGTCAATCTCTGCATCACTTGTGGAAATCAGGAGTCCTGTAGTGAAGTCAGGGAATTTGAATATCGTGCTAAGACGAGTAGTTCTGACACAGAAGCCCCAAAGAGTACAGAAGAGCTCCTGATACTTGTTCGATGTGTGCAAATGCTTCTTTCTGATCTGCCACCTCAGAAAGGAGGAAGCACAGAATCAGGAATACATCTTCTGAGGAAGTTGAAAGCTGATGATGATTCATGGAATCATGTGATAGAGGATCTTTTAGTTGGCAATGGGAATTCCTCTGGTACCATTTATTGGCTTCTACAAGAACTTCTAAAGGATAAGCTGCAACAATGGCTATCTTCTAGATCCAAGGAAGCATGGAATCAGCCAGGCTGTTCCTTGTCCAAGAAGGAGCAGGGAATAATACACATGGCTGCTGGGTTGGGCTTTGAGTGGGCTTTAAATGCAATTCTAAGTCATGGAGTCAGTATAAATTTCCGTGACATTAATGGATGGACTGCTCTTCATTGGGCTGCACGTTTTGGAAGGTAACCTTTTGTAACCTCTTTTTACCTCTTCTTCTAGTAGAAGGCATTAGCACTACAACAGTGAAATGGGATTGAGTCTTTTTGAAAACATGAAGGCAGCATACACTTTGTCATTGGTAATTGGTTTGCTTGGGGGTTTGAACACTTTTGAGTGTGTGTGTGTCCTTGTCTTTAAGAATACTTTGATTGCTTGGTTGAAGGTCTATAGCTGCTACTTCTAATGAAGACTGGTCTTGTGATGCATAGAAGTTTTTTGATTTGTGTACATCTATTCTTTGTTTGAACTTGAAACAGGGAAAAAATGGTAGCTGCCCTTGTAGCTTCTGGTGCTTCAGCTGGGGCAGTGACAGATCCCCATTCACAAGATCCAATTGGCAAAACTGCAGCATCTATTGCTGAATCCAGTGGGCATGTGGGACTTGCTGGTTATCTCTCAGAGGTGGCACTAACTAGCCATCTTTCTTCCCTTACACTGGAAGAAAGTGAGTTTTCTAAAGGCTCAGCAGAGATGGCTGCAGAATTGACTGTGAAGAGCATCTCCAAGGGGGCCACTGCCTCCATTGAGGATCAACTTTCACTTAAAGATACCCTTGCTGCAGTCAGGAATGCAGCTCAAGCTGCTGCACGAATACAAAATGCTTTTCGTGCCCATTCCTTCAGGAAACGACAACAGATAGAAGCTGCTGTCGCTGCTGCAGCTCTGGATGAGTATGGTCTCTGTGCAGATGACATTCAAGAGCTTTCTGCCTTGTCAAGGCTAACCTATGGAAATGCTCGTCATTACAACACAGCTGCTTTATCTATTCAGAAGAAATATCGAGGTTGGAAAGGTCGTAAAGATTTTCTAGAACTTCGCCAGAAAGTTGTGAAGATACAGGTATCAAATTGCAATCGGAAAGAATTATTATGTAGGAGTTATTGGCCTTGCTAACCAATTAGGGCATATAGATGGAATAAGTGGTAATTGTGTGCTTTCTCTGTGGTGGCAGGCTCATGTAAGAGGTTACCAGGTGAGGAAGAAATACAAGGTCATTTGTTGGGCTGTTGGTATTCTAGATAAGGTCATACTACGTTGGCGAAGGAAAGGAGTTGGTTTGCGAGGTTATCGTCCTGAGACAGAACCAATTGATTCAAGTGAAGGTGAAGACGAGGACATTCTCAAAGTATTTCGCAGACAGAAAGTGGATGGGGCTATTGATGAATCTGTTTCCCGTGTGCTGAACATGGTTGATTCTCCAGATGCACGTCAGCAATATCGTCGGATGCTTGAAAAATATCGCCAAGCTAAGGTAAGTTGAAAGAAAGCCATTTGCATCAGTTGGTAGGCTCTTGTCCCTAATCTACTTGCAAATTCCAAAACAAAGCCCAGGCATCAATTGATTGTGGAATTTATGATATTAAAAACAAGGAACTACGTGGGGAACCACCAATTTTACTATTCACATTTTCATTGCAAATTCCAAAGCAAAGTCCTGAGTTTTGTTGTCTTGTAGGGAACTTTGTAATGGGACTATAATCTGAATTTCTTCAATTGTATTTTTTATTTATTTTTTGAGACCCTAGACTTGTGGCCAGAAGCACAGGAAACTCTATCACTAGATCACATGGCTGATGAATGAATTTCTTCAATTGTTGCAGGCTGAACTTGCTGACACAAGTAAACCAGCAGTGTCAATTTCTGTAGATGATATAGCTAATATGGTGGATGATGATTTCTTCTAATTTCTGTGGAAGATCCAGTTAATCGTCTTAACATTGCTCGGCAAATATGAAATACCTGCTCGATAATTTTCTAGATTTAGTTTGTACATGATGGCCTGCATTTCCGAGAAAAATTTAGTAAGTCTTTTTTTTTTTTTTTTAATCCTGGTCTACCCATAGTAAGTCTTTTGATTTGTGCATTTGCCATACAATTCTGCTGTAAATGCATTGCCTGTAGTTATAACTAATTGCTGTAAATGGTTTCCGGTAGGTTTGATTAAGCTTCAGTACCCATTTAGGCAGTTTCTCTCTCTACATCAGTCATTTATTGTTTGAGTTTTTTTCTTCAATTATCAGCCTCTATTTTCCTCTGGTTTCTGTTTCATTTTGAAAAGGGGGGCGACCTTTAGGGTCTCCTTTCATCAATTATTATAGTGGTATGGTATGCTGGTATGGTACAGTCTATATTTAGTTGAATTGTATACAACTTTTTTTCTTTATTACAAAAGGAAAAAGGGGTGGGAAGAAATTTCTATTTTCACTGATTACTGATCACTTATTGATTTGAATGGAAATAATCACCTAATTTTACAACAAATGTGATCATGTCATATGTTATCCATGTTGGCAAGTATTTCACTGGCTGAAGGTTGTTCGTGTAGAACTCTTTGGATAAGATTGAGTAGTTATTTCCATAATGGTAGCGAAACCATTTCCTTATTGCGAGCTTACAGGAGTATAATTGGCAGCATCAACAAATTAATTGGTTTGTTTCAGATATCACGCTACCGTTGGTTTTTTAGGATGCTATCGTAAATCTCCACCATGCTGCCAAGGTGTTATAAATACCTAATTATAAGATCAAGCAAAGGATCGACACGTCACACAGCAAACTCAGCACAATTTCTCTTTATACTCAGATTCATCTTAGTCCCTTTAGTTTAGTTTTAATTCTACGCTTTAATCTAGATTAGTTTAGCAATTCAGTTCTCTTTTTGTCAGATTTGCAATGGTGAGTTTCATTACCTTCAGTAATAGTTCTTTGTAATCGAATTGCTTCATTTCCTTTGTATTTGTTTTCCAAGTTCCTTTTAATTTAATCAAATGATGTCGACATTTAATTTCATATTCAGTTCCATTTCTTTTAATTTGTATTTCATGCTACTAGTAGATTTTTCATGTTTCAAATTTTATTACTTTAACTTAATTTACTTTTTCTGCAATTAAATTTCCTTTTAAGCTGTGTTTCAACCTAGTTTGCATATCTAAACTTCATTTAGATTCTCGGTAGTTCAGTGATCATTTATTTTCCTTGCAGTCTAAACTTTTCTCGATTACATTAGTTTGGAAGTGTCCTTGGAATCATATCCAAGGCATTTTGTCATATAATCCATTTAGTGTAGGAAGTTCATCCCTCATTTCTGCTCGTCTGATTTTTGAGGCGCAATTTACAACGTTCTTCCATCAACTCATAAACTGAGTTCCACGCTTGGAAATAAGAGAAGGTCGTTTGAGAAATCTTTCTTGTTTTGAGCAAAGCAAGTGGCACACCATTTCATTTGCCACATGTCAAGGAGAATTTTTGAGATAACAATCTCTTTTTGGCATGCCCGATGGGACCTCCTACTGGCGATCGTCTATTAAGAAAAGTTTTTTGATCTTTTTTTTGCTTTTCGTGGGCATAAAGCAGCCATAGCCATGCCTAGGAGAGTTAGAAAGGAAGTTGCACAGCAAGTGGAAGTCACTCCTGTGAGCCCAAGACATTCTGAAGGTGAAAATAGTCCAAAGCATCTTCCACCTATTTCTCCTTTGGCTGATTGCTCATATGGCAATCCCATGTATGGCAAGGATGATGAGGAGAAGGTAGATTCTACTGAGTCAAGCAATAAAATATCTCAAGAACTTTAGTAGATAAGGAAGTTGCAAGAAGAGGCCAATCAGAACATAAAGCTTAGTCTAGCAAGCTTTCTACAAGCCCAACAACAACATTCAAATCATTTCACTCAATGTATGAATGCTATTAAAAGGGTCATTAATGAAAATTCTCGAGCTGTCCGAAAAGAAGTAGCAGAAAGTCGCAGAACCTTCACTGTAGTGTTTGAAAGAACCATGGAACATGTTCGACAGCAGCAAAATGTTCCAAGGCAACCCGTACCTCCAGCAATGAAATTGCCACAGCAAAATCTTTCAGATCCTTTGCTCAGAGGGCACGAGGGGCATATTAATCAGCCACAGGTGGTGCAACAGATGCCCAATGCTCAAAATAATGCTTTTGGTGTAGGCTAGGTGCAGTTCAATAAGCAACAGCAAAACAATCCTGCTGGTGGCATCCTTGGACCATAAGATCCTGTGGAAGCAACATTCTGTGCAGCTGAGCAATTCAATGTCAATCAACAAAGATATGTACCTCTTACATGGCATCCAAAAATGCAGCCCCATAGCCCAACTTGTAGAATAATGCATTTCAACCATTACGACAGCAAGCGGCACCCCTTCCCTTTGATAGAAATCAACTGATTGATCTAGTTCAGGAAACATATGGTCCAGCTCTAAAACCATTGGTTCATCCTTGTTACCACAAGCCGTATCCAGATTACATAGATCGGGATAATACATTTCCTCATGGATTCAAATTGCCTGAATTTACTTTGTTTTCAGGGGATGTGCGTCAGTCAACCATTGAACACATTGGTAGGTTCACTATTCAATATGGGGAAGCATCAGGTGATGATTTTTTGAAGTTGTGACTCTTCTCAAGTTCTTTAATTGGTATTGCACTGACATGGTACCTAAGTCAATTGCAAAATTCTTTGTTTACCTGGAAACAAATGGAAGATTTTTTTCATATTCAGTTTTATCGCTCAGAGCTAGAGATATCCATGGCTGATCTCTCTAAATTGACTCAACGGCCAAGGAAATCTTCTGAAAATTATCTTATGCGGTTTAGAAAGGCCAGAATGAAATGTCATGTTGCTTTACCAAAACAAGAGTTCGTGAAGTTTGCTCATAATGGTTTAGACATTGAACTTCGAAAGAAGTTTGAGGGGATGGAATTTAGAGACTTCTTCGAGCTCTCTTATTAGGTGGCACATTATGAGAACCTTTTAAGAGAGGAATCCCAAAGAAAAGCAGTATCACAAGGAACTTATTATCAGGATGCTTTTGACCTTGATTTTGTCGAGGTCTTTGCAGACAAGCCAGTAACTTGTCCTAATCTGGTGAAAGTCACTCAACAAGTTGAGGCGGCTGCAAAGTGTCTCTTGTATGAATTTGGGAGACAATACACATTTGATGTGACTAAAGCAAATGAAATCTTTAATTATCTGAAAAAGTCAGGACAAATTAAGCTGCCATAGGGGCATAAGCTCCCGACTGTTTTTGAAATTGCATCCAAAGATTACTGTAAGTTTCATAGCTCTTGGAAACACTCTACTAATGACTATGTTATTTTTTGAAATGTGTTACAGGATAAGATCGACAAAGGGCTGCTTCGTTTCCATGAAAAACCCAAAGAAGCCATGGGGGTTGAAGAGAATCCTTTTCCAAGAGTCGATGTTGGGGTTAATGTTGCTAACATAAAAAGTATCTCTCGAAGAACGTATAAAGGGTGAACTTTGGCTACAAATGAACTTTGTTGGGTGACTGAGAAAGAAATGGAACATTGTACCCAATAGAATCAGAGGCTCGAGGGGTAACGCCATGTTGCTAGCACCTATGCCTCTAGATCTAGAATGAAAGAGGTTCAACATACATATCACTCTCGTATGGTCAAGCCTCCACAACGACCTCCAACTAAAGGATGGGAGAAGGTCATGCATCCTAAGTTTCCAAAAGAACCTGTGAAAAATCCTAGAACTTTAGGAAGAAAGTTGCAATGGAAGCGAGTAACGCACGTCGCCGCCAACAATTGGCTGCTGAGGAACTTAAGGTTCCACAACGTTCTCATGCAAAAGGAAAAATGGTGTGGAGGAGAAAGGAGAATCAAGAAGCTACTGTCCATAGTGAATCTCAACCAGAAATGCTACTTCCTAAGCTCTCCTCATTGATTGTCAATGAAAATGAGTTGAATCAACCTTTGAAGCAAATCAGCAAGCAGAGTTGACTAGTGATGATGATCTTCTTGAAGACATGGATGTTGTGTAGATCGGGGACATCTCTATTAATCACTCTTGTTTGGTTCTCATGCTTTCTTTGGTTTTTCAAGCCAAAGGCAGTGAGGGTACCCATGCTCCTACCCATGTTTCCAAGGGCAACATGGTTGTTGAGGAAGAAGTGATAGAGGTTCTAGCCCAAGAAGAAGAAAAGGAGTGTGATATCCTCTCAGAACAAATTACTTTTGACAAACTAGATGAAAGTGTGGCTCGTCATATAAAGCCATGCTACATTTTAGCTCACATAGATGGAGTTCCAATGAATCGAGTCTTTGTTGACAATGGAGCAGCTGTCAATGTCATGCCTTCTTTTATGCTGAGGAATTTGGGTAAAATTTTTGAGGATTTGGTTTATACTGACGTAACCATCAGTGATTTCATAGGGTGGTGTTTGGAAATTGAAAAGAATGCTGCTGGTTGCACTTACTATCGATGGAAATCGAAAAGAATGCTGCTGGTTGCACTTACTATCGAT